TTGGAGGTTTTATCCAGGTTCTCAGAGTCACCTGAGCAAGTGCTCCTGATTCCTGTAGTAGGATTTCCAGAGAAAAAATTGCAGACTACAGGAACAAGAAGCACCACTCAGGTGACCCTAAGGACACAGTTAAATCTCCAAGTGCTTCAACGACCTTCTAAAAGGATGCAAATGACCAGCTGTCTGCAAAGAATATAAAGCCTTCCATTCCCCACCATCCAGTCAGAGTTGGAGAAGCTTCTTGGATGGGAAGTAAAACGTCTTCAAAAGGAAAACCAAGAAAGTCCATTTGTCTCCTGAAAAAGCACCTTTGGGACAACCAGGACCTGGATGACTGAGATTCTCTACAATTTGGGATGAACACCCATTGAATGGTGTGGGAGTAGGAATGGATTTCCAGAGGAAAAATCGCAGATTACAGGAACCAGGAGCGTCACTCGGGTGACCCTGAGGACACAGATAAACCTCCAGGTGGCCTCAAGGACTCTCTAAAAGGATGCAAATGACCAGCTGTCTGCAAAGAGTATAAATCCTTCCATTCCCCACCGTCCAGTCAGAGCTGAAGATGCTTCTGGGTTGAGAAGTGAAATGTCTTCAGAAGACAAAACAAGGAAGCCCAATTGCCTCTTGAAAAAGCACCTTTGCGATAATCTTTTAAATATATACCATAAATAAATATCCCTGAAATCCCAAAGAGCCAGTTTGGTGTAATGGTTAAGACATCACCCCAGAACCTGGGAAACCCCACTTTAGGCATGAAAGCCAGCTGGGTGACGTTGGGCCAGTCTTTTTCAGAAGGGAAGAGAAAAAGCCCAGAAAACAGCAATTCTCAAACCTTGCCAAGAAAACTGCAGAAAATGACGCAGGTAGACATTAGGAATCAACATTGACTCACAGGCACCAAATAAACAAACTTACATTTTCTTACAGGCTAAATCATTTCAGTAAAGGAGTTGGTTTGAGGACAAGCATTAACCAGAGACTGTCCTGTATAATAAAAGCTAGGTGGGATATTGTATTTCAGGATTTAGCTGGCCATTGCTGGAGACAAAGTTAGAGGGAGGGAAAGAGAATGTTTGTTTTGAAAATCGTTTGCCACCCAAAGTCAGTTGTTGTGTTGGGCAGACATACAAATCGAATGAATCAATCCATCCATCCATAAACAAGTAAACAAACCAACCTGATCTTGAAGCTGAATGTTTGTAAGCAAAAGAAGAAATCAGATTTAGTGATTAACTTTCAAATTGCAGCTGGATAAATTGATTCTGTGGTCTGTGCCCAATTTTGAAATCCCATATTTTTTTAGAAATTGGATTTAAACGTTTAATCGTTCATTCTATTCTCCTTTGTTTGTGTGATAATTTGTGTATTGATAGAATGATGTAATCTTTTAAAGTGCCCCCCCCCCCTTGATTTCAGCCTGAATAGTTGGGTTTCATTTTTTTTTTTAAGGTTGTGCATCGGGATCTTAAACCGAGTAATATTTTGTATATGGATGATTCCAATAATGCTGATTCCATCAGGATTTGTGATTTCGGCTTTGCAAAGCAACTCCGGGGAGAGAATGGGCTTCTCTTAACCCCATGTTACACTGCTAATTTTGTGGCACCAGAGGTAATGCCTTTTCCCATTTGGTTTTACAAATCGTCTCTTTAAATCTCCAGAAAAGTATTTGTATTTCATGAGTTTGGGGAGGCATTGGGGGTAGATTGCTTTGTTCTGTTGTTCCTCGCAACATAATAATTGATCTAACTAACACAACTGATCTATCTAACAAAATGAAATTCAATGTAGGGAAAAGTAAAGTCCTACACTTATGTCAGAAAAATCAAAAGTTCAAATATAAAAGATGAAACCAGGCTTAATAGCAGTGACTGTGACAGGGATCTTGGAGTCTTAGTAGACAACCAGTTAAATATGAGCCAGAAGTGTGCACTGGCGGCTAAAAAAACCAACACAATCCTAAATTGCATTAACAGAGGGATTAAATCAAGATCAAGCGGGATACTAATACCACTTTATAAAGCCTTAGTAAGACCACACCTAGAATACTGCATCCAGTTTTGGTCACCACACTGTAAAAAAAGATGTTGAGACTCTAGAAAAAGTGCAGAGAAGAGCAACCAAGATGATTAGGGGACTGGAGGCTAAAACATGCAATGAACAGTTGCAGGAACTGGGCATGGCTAGTCTAGTGAAGAGAAGGACCAGGGGAGAGATGATAGCAGTCTTCCAATATTTGAGGGGCTGCCAGAGAGAGGAGGGGAGTCAAGCTATTCTCCAAAGC